CGCTCAAACACTAACAAACTGACAAGATCTTTCGCTGTCTATAGCCGGGTACCCATTCCCACCTGGGTGAAGTGAGGAAAATTCGTGTAAAGTGCCTTTCTCAAGGACACAACGTCGGGCCCTTGAAGGGATTCGAACCCACGACCTTACGGTTGCGAGTCCGAGAGCCTAACCATTAGGCCACCGACGCCACGTCTTGCTTTCGAGTATTTCCTTCATGGTAGTCTGGTGGCGCTTTATGTGACCAAGATATTGTATTTTTCTACTCTACGTTCATTTTGTTAAGGAGGGTTTGTCTTGTGTGGAGAATCTGACACACGTCATGGTCAGTCTTTTATGTTACTTTCCTGCTAATTCGGGCCGTTAGGCGGTAGCGCCACATCTCAAATGCAGATGTTTTGTTTTCTTCTTTCTTTGTTAAAGTTCAGGCCTCAGCACCATATAGGATGAAAATGGGAAAGATGTAGCACTCTGTCAATTTCTTTCTTAAATATAAAGGTACAGTTTTGAAGGATCCTACAAGTCTCAGCTTCAAAACCAAAACGTTTTGTATCTGGAAGGACCTCCGGAATTTTAGTGTTTGGTTACCATGAAAGAAGTATCAGGAGGCCCAAGCGAAGGGGTTGGCGTGTAAAAAAAAAATCCAACTCTGCCAATCTGCGTAAAACCAGCCACACAAATCACACGAGGTTAATCGATTTACACGTGAGCGCAACGTACGGAGCAAAAAATGTACAGTGAAAGTGGCCCTGAGCAACGTAACCAGCAATGTAGATACGTGTAAAGTTGGCTAACATTTCTAATTTGGCTCGCCGCATCGTTCTTCTTACTTTCTTTTTCATCCCAGTTGCGTCTTCCCTGAAAAAATGTCTGGTCTACGATTATGTCAACGAAATGTAATTTTGGCGGGATTTAGTGAGACGCTCCCCGCATCAATATCCTTAGGCTATCAGACACAGGAAGATAATAAGGCTGATGGGCGAACGAGAAGTTGGTGGAATTTTTGGCTGGTCCCGTCCTCTGATTCCTGGGGCTAAATTATGGGATGCACGTGCTCCTAGCTATCGGGGCTGCCTACAAAACTGCTACCTCCTACTGCACGCGGAGAATTACACTGATAGTGAAATGGTTCTTTTAGTTTTTGTTTTGTTTTGTTTGAATCGTTGTGTTAGGGATTTTTTAAAGGGGTTATGTTGTTTTCTTTTCTATTTCATGTCTGTGTTGACTTTGCTGTTCTTTGTCTTGGCTGGGGCTGTGGGAGAGAGAGAGAGAGACAGAGAGAGAGAGAGAGACAGAGACAGAGAGAGAGAGAGAGACAGAGAGACAGAGAGAGAGGCTGGATGTTTGCTGTTTTGCATTTGGGTTTGTGGTGGTTTTCTTTTCTATTTGTTTCGGAAAATGAAGAGTAGAGAGAAGGGCAGTCAGTTAGAAGAATCGGGCTCCAGACATTTTGTTTTACCCAGCATAATGAATTGAATAGGACCTCGTAATGAACAGTCTTGCGACACAGAAACTGAGACAGAAAAAATATAACATATGTGATGGGAAAAGTGCAGAGCGCTTTACTCGTTTTGAATATAACCCGTTAGGAATAACATTTGTGGCTTTAGGTTGGCTCGCAGTAAATGTTGAACCTACATGAAAATATAAAGCAAAGCAGTCTGAAGAAAGCTTATTGTAAGAATATTATTAATTGTGCTAATGCGTGTTTATCTATCTATCTATCTATCTATCTATCTATCTATCTATCTATCTATCTATCTATCTATCTATCTATCATCTATCTATCTATTTATCTGTCTGTCTGTTTGTCTATCTATCTGTCTGTCTGTCTGTCTGTCTGCCTGCCTGGCTGCCTGACTGCCTGCCTGCATGCCTGCCTGCCAGTCTGTCTGTCTGTGTGTCTGTGTGTCTGTCTGTCTGTCTGTCTGTCTGTCTGCCTGTCTGTCTGTCTATCTATCTATCTATCTATCTACTTATCTATCTATCCATCTATAAATCTATCTATTTATCTATTCCGTGGCCTTGTCCTGTAGAATCTGAGTCTGTATCCATCTGACCATCCACAAAAAATTATCCTTAGGGCATGGACATAACGTCTATTTGCCCTCCCCCCCCCTTTTTTTTCCCCCGCAACCTTCCCCGAACTCTCTATAACACCCCCTTCCCCCTTATTTTCGCCTCACCCTCCTCTCCCCTTATTTTCGCCTCACCCTCCTCTCCCCTTATTTTCGCCTCACCCTCCTCTCCCCTCTCCCTCTTTCTACAGTAACTCCCCTAAGTCAGCCAGCCCACCCCTCGAGGAGAGGAAGGTAGATTGTTCCATCAAAGTTTATGTTTTGTTTGATCTGGCGAGTCCAATCCAATTTGTGGCGGGTAAATACGAGAAATCTCATTTATTCCGCGGTGATCTGGCGGGGGCCAGCTGGTGCTAGGGGAGGCTACCTCAGCGCACACGGAAAAAGCTCGCCGCGCCAGAATTTTTCTGGCTCTCGATGACACTCTTGTTCCTGCTCCTGCCGCCTTCTGCATCTCGTCTCTCTCGCATCTCTCTCTGTCTCGCTCTCTCTGTCTCTCTGTGTCTCTATCTCGTATCTCCCTCCCTCTTTCTCTCTCTCTCTCTCTCTCTCTCTCTCTCTCTCTCTCTCTCTCTCTCTCTGTGTGTCTGGCTGTGTCTCTATCTCTTTGTCTCTCTCTCGTATCTCTCTCTGTCTGTCTGTCTCTCTCTCTCTCGTATCTCCCTCCCTCTCTCTGTATCTCTCTCTCTCTCTTTTGTCTGTCTCACTCTCTCTTTGTCTCTCTCTCCGTCTCTCTTTCTGTCTCTCTGCCTCTCTCTCTTTCTCTGTCTCTCTCTGTTTCTCTCTGGTATCTCACCCCCCTCTTTCTCTTTCTCTCTCTGTCTCTCTCTCTCTCTTTCTCTGTCCCTCTCTCTCT